ATTAGAGCTATTTCAAAATTGCAATTTTAAATTTCATTGTTTTCTAAAGAAGTATAGTTACTCTGAAACCACGAAAACTCCTTTTGAACTGCGAGAGAACGTCCAACAACGCATTTCGGGCCTGGAATGCGAGAGAACGTCCAAGCGTCCAACAACGCATTTCGGGCCTGGAATGCAATAACTTCAACGATTTGTAATTGGGTGTATATCAATATCAATACTTGACATTTTACTCTTATTCCAGTCCACATTTGGCTATGATTCGGCTTACTGGACCAACAAGAGGGCATATCACGTGAATGGGGGCCAGTCCGGCGCAGACCATCAAGAAACTAAGCTGCCAACCTACTGGGCCACACCCTTCACTAGTCTTTGTTTGGGGATGATGACGGTTTTTCAGAGAAGACCAAACTGGATCCGTGTGAATTACACGTAAGACCGCGCGCTTTTCTGATCCACATTTGAACATGAACTACACTAAACATAGAAAAATAATTTTTAAATTTATCAATAATGGGCTGCCTATGAAAACGCGATTTTAGTTTGGCTTCTCACTCGTCAGCCATCTTGGATTCAAGTCGAGGCTGACCGCGCATTTCTCAGGTTCCAAGATGGCGCACTGCTGTGTGCCATTTTGTAATAATGACTCACGTAAAAACTTAAAAGGACGAAAATATTTCCTTTCATGCATTTCCTAAATGCTACGAAAGACAAAGTAAATGGATCGCAAAAATAAGAAGAGACCCTGGGATAAATTTTAAGGTAAATCGTCAAAGATTACATGAAAATTTGATAATTGTGCTGAACAGAGCTGTGAACATTCCCGGGAAACCTTATAAGTCTTAATCAAGTTTTTTCGTTTTACGATCGCAGATTGGAAAGCACACGGTCGTTTGCTCAGACCACTTTGTAAAAGACGACTTTAAACGGACTTTGACGAACAAAAGAATTCTGACAAAGTCGGCTATACGACTAGAGATCATTTAATTGTAAAACAAACACGATCGAAAAGGTTCCCGGATGCACGTGATTAACAAAATGTTTTGCGCATGTTTGTGTAGGGCAAGATCGCTGTACTCTGTAATCGCAGACAACCGCTATCGCAGTTTTTCCATCGGTCGTAACAAGTGGAAGTCGTTGATTCCTGGCTCGTCTTTGCAGAAATACTGCAACAGAGAGGGGTTTAATTCCAGACCAGTAACTGCGACAGGTAACCACAGGGTGAGAATCGGTATTGTGTCAAATCAGGAGAATGACTGCAGTAGCCCTGACTCCCGAATTGGATTTGGAGGTGCGGGATGGGCCTGTGGGAAAAAGTCTATCGATAACTTGATATTTACAGGAAACACAGCAAGATGCAGTGCGGACAACGGGAACAAGGCCATTAAAACTTTCGGCTACATATTGGTTCAGTAATTCGTTTGAGCTGTTTTTCTGCCAGATCCATTATTTCTTACTTTCTACTCCCTTCTAAAATTTCCTACTGCGAGTTGTCGTTGGTTATCTATCATTTTTAAAATTAAAACCACAAAAAAACAACTGATATCCCACAATACCTTGTGATTGAACAGATTACCCAAGATGCCTTGTGGTCAAAGAGATATCCCATGATACACTGTGTTTCAAATTTCCTTGAACTAAAATGGTTAAAAGGTATAAGAGAGAAAGCAATCGATGATTCCTTAGCCCTTCTGACTTGTTTGCGTTCTTAAAAAAGTAAAAATTCAAAATGATATAAATCAAATTCAACACTAAAATGCTAACGATTATTTTCATCATTATCATTGTCATCATATCCTCCTGTGTGCACTGTTCTGTTTCTGCAACAGCAGACTTCTAAATAGAATAACTTAACAAGAAATAATGGTTCTGGTGCAGTTTGAATGAGAAATTAACAGTCCACTATAAAAGGTAAAATATTAAGGGTAACTTAGTACAGAATGAAGATAAATTTTAGACACAATCAAATATGATTTGTTTCATATTTTTTATTATTGTGTATCAATTGACAGTAAATTGTAATGATAAATTTAATTCAAATTAAAGCATTATAAAACTGATTTTCAAAGGTTTCAGCTTGTATAAGTTATGTTGT